TTTAGTAGAGACGGGGTTTCACCATGTTGACCAGGATGGTCTCGATCTCTTGACCTCGTGATCCACCCGCCTCGGCCTCCCAAAGTGCTGGGATTACAGGCTTGAGCCACCGCGCCCAGCTAGAATGAGTTTTATGTGTTGTTACAGGTGCTTCTATCCAAATGACTTGTTTTTATATTTTTAGTGGCAGTTGAAGTTTGAGATGAGGAGAAAATGGCACCTGTCTGGTGGGATAACAGAGACTTTTATAAACATACCACCTTTTGTCTCCTGGTTAGTAACATAAAGGGAAACAAGCTATGGGTTTAGTTCGTCCACCTACATGTAGATGAGACGTGTGATAATTTTAAGTCCTTCATTATCTAGTTCAGTGTTCCCATTTTGGTACTACTGACATTTGGAGACTGGATGGTTCTCTGTTGTGGGGGACTGTCCTGAGTACTGTGGATGTGGGGACTGGATGGCTCTCTGTTGTGGGGGGCTGTCCTGAGTACTGTGGATGTGGGGACTGGATGGCTCTCTGTTGTGGGGGGCTGTCCTGTATACTGTGGATGTTCAGCAGCTTCTTTGGCCTCTACCCTCTGGGTGTCAGTGCACCATCCCCTTAGTTGTGGCAACCAGAAATGTCACCAGATATTGCCACATGTCCTCTGGGGCATAAAACCCCGCTCCTACCTAAGCCCTTCTAGTGAGACCCCTGGGCAACGCCTGACCTCCCTTGGAAGGCCAGGGGCAGCTGTGAGCCTTGGCCTTGGGCAGGTTATCATGCGACTTTTATTTGAAGCTTTTGGTCTAAAAAAATGTGTGGAACGATGAAAAGGAAGTATAATGTAGCTAAAAAAAATGTGTAAGAGATTGGCAAACTCTAGCAGACAAAATTGTTATTTCAAAATAATTTAAACTTGGCATAAATTTATCTTTATGAAAGAAAGGAAAAGGTCTCAGCTACAGATCATTCTGGTAGAAATCCCGTTATTCTCCTGTCTCACCGTTTCCCAGTTTGTATGTTCCCCAAGTCGCTGTGCACCACTGAAACCCCCCAGGGAAACCCAGAGAAAATTGTCTCCTATGCCCAGGAACTGATACCCCAGAGAGACTTTCTACCATGAGGAGCAGGAAGAGGGAGGCCTGCTGATCTCTCTGGACCAGACTGTAAGAGGGAGGATGAATGAGCCCCAGGAGGCAGTGTGGGGTGCAGTGGGGGAGGCTAGGATAGGAGTGGATATTTTCTTTCCACAGAGTTTAGAGTAATAACGGGCTGAAAGTGGGCACTACAGCGTAAATGAGCGTGGGAGCTAATGGTTAGCTCTTTTCATGCTAATCCCCTAGAGCCTAGCACAGGACTTGGCATGTACATTATTTAGGTTTGTTGAGTGAGTGAATGAGACCTTTGAGGTTACTTAGACCAGGAATTATGCACTCAAACGCTTGCCGAGTGTGGGTGAGGGGCTGGGCGTACAGCTGGAGTACATAAGAGGTGGTGGGGCTATATCCACGGATGATGGCAGCTGCCACTACTGTCACGGCAACAACAGGTGTGTGCTGGGTGCTTACGACGTGCCAGGTGCTATTCCAGGCGCTTCACTTGTGTTATTTCATTTACGCTTAATGGTGATAATTTTTAAAATCAGAAGGTGTAAAATAAGGAACAAATGAAACTATAAAGGCCTAGAAAGAAGGGCAGCATCCACATAACCCTTTTTTCTCCCTCTGCCTGCTGGCCTCCCTGGGAGCTAATGTCCCCTGCACAAAGGACGCCTTCCTCCCCTGCTGTTGCCCATTGTTCTTTCAGGCTTCTGGACTTCCCTGGGCAAGCTCTCTCCCTAATTGGAGTTTCTTCCAGGGCTCCCCACCTCCCTACCTCCCTACCTACCTACCTCCCTACCTCCCTGTGGGTAGAAGCCCTTCTGCCCCCACAAGCTCAGAGCAGACAAGGCCATTCCTGGGAAGAACTGAAAAGTTTAATTTCAAATGTTAAAGCACTTTGTCCTTTTTTGTTTATCCAAGTAGTTTAACATCTCTTTGGCAAATAAAACTAGCACGTTGTGACAATGGCTGAGGTTTCCCTTGCTTGTAGGAGACATTTATTAAGTCTTATGAAATGTGAAAGGATTATTTCCAAATATCAAAATAACATTCACAAAGCAACACTTTATAACTTGAAAATGTCCCAAGCCTTTAGGTCAGTCAAAATGTTCTCTTAGTATGTGAAAACAAGGTCTTTTTGGGTAAAAAAGGCAGTTGAATAGGAAATGTAAGATGTACTTACAGGACTAGCCAAGCGCCTTCTTGGAGATGATCCCCTGAAGGCCGCAGGAGGAAGATGGCAAGGAGGAGAAGAAGGAGTCTCCTTTCCTGATGTTCTGGATGACTGCCTTCCATCTCATTTCTCCAGGAGAGCCCATAAGTAGTGAGCACTTTCATCGGGCTGTCAGTGTGAATGATGAAGATTTGCTTGTCCGAATACTTCAAGGAGGGTGAGAGAACTCAGCCGGTGTTTTTTTTTTCTCCCATGCCTATGAAATGTGTAGAAACATACATGCAGTAGCTTCACTTTGTTTTCCTAAAATTTCCCATGCCTTTGAAACTGCCTCCGGAATGGATCTCAGGTGACTGGTGTGACTTAGTAAACTATAGTTAATAAAGATGCTCCTGAAGCCCCAGGTAAATGTTAAATTTCATAATTGTGTAATAGAAATTGTAAAAGGAAATTACAAGGCTGGGTGTCCTATTTTCTTCCCAGAAATAATTTCTGTCTCTTGCTTACAAGCCATTTAGGCAAATTTCACCCCCAAATGCCCATGTCTAATTTCTGATGAAATGAGGGAATCACCAAATCAACTGCTTTCTAATTTAAAAGGTTGATATAACACTAGAGGGAAAATGGTGAATACAGCTGCTTCAGATGAGATGTTTGAAGCTGCCTCCTAAATGAAAAGTAGGCGATGTTACCTAGGTTCTTTTCGAATCAATAGTTTTGAGTACCCTAGAAGACAAGTCATTTGTGAATTTCAGCTCTGTAATTTGGAGCTCTTAAGAGAAGGTTCCCACAAAAAGCCAAAGCAGCTATGCTGGAGCATGGGCGTGAAGACCTCTGTTTTCTTCTCTCAACAGCACTGCTCTCCACCTGGTAGGTGAGATGTGAGGCAAGGGATAAAGCCTGAGTCTCCACCAATATACAGATTCATGTTCGGTGAAGCTGAGAGTCAGCAGTGAAGATATCGTCCTCAGCTATCTTAAAGAGCTGTCGGACAGTGCTTTGTCTGATGGCATAATAGCTTTCAGCCGAAGAGAGTGCCTATTTTAAATGAAATTACAATTTTCTCTTTTATTATGCATTTGAATCTTATAGAATATTAGGGATCTATTTTAGAAGATTCTTAGCAGTCTAAGACAAGAAAAGACTTAATGACCCTGAAGAAATTAGTAACATGAGTCATGTTAGCCACCAAAGCCCCATGAGAACCACCAGCTTTGAATCTGCAGGAGCTATACGGAGCATGCTCATCTCTTTTCTCTGTGTTTTTCCCAAGCCATGTTAAGGTTGATGTTCCCAATAAGTTTGGCTTTACCGCTCTCATGGTTGCTGCCCAGAAAGGATACATCAGGTATGCCTTTTCCTTTTTTTAAAAAAAATCTCTCTTGGGGATTTAACTTTTTACTTTATTTAAGGGCTCTGGTCAGGATAGGGATGGGAGGGAAAAGGGCCATAGAGGAACCCCACTTCTTTTGTGTTCCCCAAACCATACCATATGATGGCTTCGAAATCCAGCTGTTATAATCAAGTTACACAACACGCAGGAGAGAATGTAAAACATGTAATCGTATGTTGAGGAAGAAAGGTAACCATTTAATTACATGCAATATATTTTATATGTTTTTGGAAAACTGGTTATTGGAATTCGAATTTCTCTTTTTAAAAAATGTAAAGAGAAGCTTATTCTGGAAAACTTTCTGCTAGGTTGCTAAGATATAATTTTCACAGATACACTCTTATCTGTTCCACATAGAGGTAATTATTAATGCTTTATTTTCATTTATATTTTAATTAAATGCCATTTGAAAAAAATAGAAATGTGTTTTCATTAAATGCTACCATTTAAAAATATTTTAACAATGGCCATTCAAAGGGTAGTGAACTATTTCGGTAGCACAATTTGCTTCATGTGCTTTAGTTTGATTTTAATGAATAACTTGTGTCAAAGGTGAAAGCCCATGTATTTGGAATGAAGAGGTAGTTTTCTGGTTTAGTGATGCCTGGTTTTAAAACCAGCTGGCTTCTTGAAGGTGCCGGGAAGAAACTGTCGCAAAGATGCATCTTGGATACTGCGTTACCCATTTTTACTGGACTGTTGTGGGCTCTGAGTGATCAAGGTGACTTATTTAGCTACAGTTAAGTTTGTTTCCTTTAGGCTTGTGAAAATCCTAGTTTCTAATGGCACAGACGTGAATCTGAAGAATGGAAGTGGCAAGGACAGGTAGGAGGTGGGGTATGACCAAAAACGTGCTCATGTTCTCAGAATTGTGTTGCTAGGCTTGTGCCCAGAGGACTGATTTCACCCAAGCAATTTTTCAGTTTCTTTTGACAGTCCTGAGAGGTGAGTGGGTCCCCGGGGAAAGATGTTGATGCTAAAAGCCAGCGTGCTCGCATGGCCTTGTGCTTCAGCTCACCAGGGCGCTTAGGGGGGCATCTGTTGTAATCTGTGGTGACTTCTCTGGTGTGGCGCCTGTGCCTGGTGAACACGCGGTGCATGGGAAATGGCAGCTACAGAGCAGCTCTCGCCAGCTCTGTGCTGGGCATGGGCGCAAGTGCCTGTCCCCAGCAGCCCATGCCTCTCAGCCCCCCGCTCCATTTTAGCCTCACTCTTTACCCAGAATCTTTGCTGTTTCTAAAGAAGCAGAGAGAAATCGCCACCAGAGAGACAGCCAGAGCACTTTCCTGAGGTGAGGGGCACAGGTCCCCTTGCAGGGCTGAGAACGTTACAATAAAAGCTCAGGGGAAGAACACGAAGCACATAAAGCACAGATGAGAGTGCTCTGAAAGACCTAGAAACACTTGCGAGTCTAGTCATTGGAGTGAATTAATTAATTCCGACTAACCCGTGTTTATTGACTGATTACTACTTGCCAGGTGCTGTGCTTGGTGCTTGGGTGAAACAGTGAGCAAAATGCCAGGCCTCGGCTTCAGGGGCTGTGGTCACGACACACACGGAACCAGGGCTTGGGCACTGCACATGGCATTGATGGAACAGCTGCCAAACACTCACCTTCTTCTGGCCAGGCGTGGTGGCTTACGCCTATAATCCCAGCACTTGGGAGGCCGATGTGGGTGGATCACAAGGTCAGGAGTTCGAGACCAGCCAGGCCAATATGGTGAAACCCCGTCTCTACTAAAAATACAAAAATTAGCCGGGTGTGGTAGCGTGCACCCGCAATCCCAGCTACTTGGGAGGCTGAGGCAGGAGAATAGCTTGAACCTGGGAAGCGGAGGTTGCAGTGAGCCAAGAGATTGCACCACTGCCCTCCAGCCTGGGCGACAGAGCGAGATTCCATCCCAAAAAAATATAACAAAACAAACACAAAAAAACCCCAAAAAACTGACCTTCTGCGGCAGGCCAGAAAGAAAACCCCAACTAACTTCTCAAATCAGAAGGCTTGTCTTCTACATTTACATTCTCTGGACACAATGCAGCAATAGATTTTAAATAACAATATCTTAAATATCACTTATACATTTAAAAAGTATTTTTCCAAATAACTCATAGGTAAAGTTGAGACTAAGCTATCAACTCCAAGTTTGAAAAGAATGGTCAAGTCTGAAAAGGGAAAAGGAAAAATGTATAAGGAGAAAAGGAAAAATGAAAGAATTAAAAGTAGACATGGATTAAAAATTAAAGATTTTTGAGAAATGTAAGAGTTGCCTCTTAAACAAAAACCTATACAATAAGATACACCAATCTTTTGTAAATCTAAGAAAAAAGAAAAAAAACCTAGAAGTTTGAAAGAGGACAATAACAATGGCTACAGAGAAAATGTAAACATGAGAAGAAAATGGTGTTTGTGTCTATAATAGTAGATAATTCCATTGAAATGGATTCTTTTTCTGAGAAAAAGAATTTAAACCACCAAATCAACCCAAGAAGCAGAAAATCCAAAATTACCAATATCCATGCAAGAAACAGAAAATTCATTTAGAAATTACCTCCAATCTAGGCTCTGTGGCTTGATTGTTCTGCCAGTGAAGCTGTTGAGATTTTCTAGTCACTGATAATAACCCTGGGTTTTTCCAGAGCAGAGAGGAAGCTGGAATTCTCCAGAGGATCACCTTATTGCTAAAATCTAATATTAACAGAAAAAAAGCTATTCGTATGTTTGTTTGTTTGTGTTGTAGGTATTTATAAATCTCTTCCATCCCACCTATGAGGGCCATACCAGAGGGTAAGGTATTAGGAAATCTTTTAATGTAACACTTCCCATCAGTAGATTAAAGGTGAAAACCTTTATTTGTGTAGAGCGAAACAAAAATTGGGTGTAACTTGGCATGTTTATTAAAAAGTGTCTTATTTTTTAAAGTGAAGGATGCTTTCAGCCTTTGAACAGTGTCTGACACATGGGAGGCAGGGAGTGTCTGTTGAATAAAGAATCCCTTTGATTGCAGCATATAAAGTTGTTTTTTTTTTTTTTTTTAATCAGTCAGCCAGTGTCATTCTTAGTATTGGCAGATTCCTTTCCAAAATTAGTAGTGAAGCCCAAGAGAGTGGTGGAGAACTTGATGTGAAACCCTCATCCCTCTGAGGATGTGGTGTGACCTGGGGCAGGCTACTTAACCTCCCTGTGCCTTAGTTTCATGTCCATAAAATTGGAATAATAGAAGTACTTACAGGTTGTAGGCATTTAACGAGTTAATATGAAAAATGCATAAAACAGTTCCTGGCATATGGTACATACAGATATACTTTGTTATTTCATGACTAGACAGTATTTTGAAGGCTGATCCACTTGATATGCACTGAGGTAAGAGGTATGATTTCTTTCCTGTGGAACCTAACAGAATCGATTTCAAAAACTTGGACTTAATAAGGAGGCTCAGAAAAGCGGACAGCTACAAGGCAAAGACAAGACTTTCTTAAATCCCTGCAATTACCAGTTAATAAATATAATGGGGAAATAAAATAGAATGAAAATAAGAAAAGTAGGAAATCTGAATGAAAAAATAAACCTAAAAACCTTACTGAGTGATATAAAAATTTAAGAAATAAAGACATGTCATACGTCAGCATGGCAAGATTGACTATTATACAATTTTTAGTTCTCAAATATTGCATGGAGGTTCAGTGCAGCCTCCAATGGAATTATTCTTGGGAACCTGTCAAAATGATTATAATGTATCTAGAAGAACAAATAGATAATATCTACTAATTTTGATATTATTTTGTCAAGGAAGAATGTGGAAGGACTTGCCTTGATGGTTATTAAAATGCCTTATAACATTATAGTAATTAAAGTAGTATGATACTGGAACAAAAAAAGTAGTAGAATGGGATAGGAATCCTCAAATAGATCCCTATCTACATAAGAACCTGGTGTATGGTGATGGAAGCAACATAAACCAATGAGGAAGGTATTGGCAAAATAGGATGTTTGAAGGAAAAAGTCAAGTTAGATCTTGGTCTCATAGCATGCACCAAAATAAATTCCAGATGAATTAAGAATTAAATGTAAAAAACAAAACCATAAAAACAAATGACCAGAAAACACAGGCACATTATTATTTGAGCTTGTAATGAGAAAGGAATAAACACATTGGAAGGAGTCATTAAGGAAAAGATTATACATTTAAAAAAAATTATGACGTTAAGGACATTCCAGGGAGATATTTACAAATGTATTATAGACACATTATGGCATTTTTAATGTATAGAACATACGTATGGCCATACATATCCTCCACAGCAGCCTGCACACACAGTAGAAAAAGCAGTTTACACAAGAAGACAATTTATAGCAGAATCAATATAAGCAATTTATATAAAAAAGTTTAACATTACTAGTAATAAAATATTTTCTCCCTATCAAATTGGTTATTAAAAATAATCATGTTGATAAAGATGCCGTGAAATACCTGTACTTTCAAATATAGTTGATAGAAATGTAAATTAGTATAATCTTTCTGGAAAGCAATTTGGAAATGTGCATCCAAAGTAAGCCACATCCATGGACACAGCGATCCCATTTTTAGGAAACAATCAGAAATGCAAATAACACTAGTAAGGGTGTTAGCAGTGACTCTTTGAGGAGACCAGGCCAGTTATCTTATAGAATGTCCTATGTTCTGGATTTGCCTGTCTCCCACCTGTGGGGCAGGCATTTCACTTGTTCCTCTATCCCTTTATTAACAATAAAGTTAAGACAGGTTTAAGGACTTGATTGCGTCAGGTGCCATCGTTCATGCCTGTAACCCCAGCATTTTGGGAGTCTCAGGCAGGAAGATCACTTAAGGCCATGAGTTTGAAACCAGCCTGGGCAACAAAGTGGATTTTTTAAAGAATTAAACAAAAAAAAAATTAAAGGCTTAATTAGACTCAGATTAACACTTTTTGCAAGAATACTTCAGAGCTAGTGTTGTGACTGCAGGTTACATCCATCGGGAAGCCTATGATGCAGGTTGTCTCCGGTAGCGATCTCAAGTAGCGATCTCCGGTAGCGATCTCCGGTAGCGATCTCAGGTAGCGATCTCAGGTAGCGATCTCCGGTAGCGGTCTCCGGTAGCGATTTCCGGTAGTGATCTCAGGTAGTGACTCTAGGTTTCATTACTTTTTTAGAGTGATGATAGCAAATTTTCTTTTTTGTAAAGATACAGTTTTCCCATTACACTTTGAAAATAATCTTTGGGGTAATAATTCATTGCTGTGTGAATATTCCCTTCCCCATTAACTTCTTTTTTTTATTTTTGGAGACAGTCTTGCTCTGTCATCCAGGCTGGAGTACAGAGGCACAATCTCGGCTCACTGCAACCTCTGCCTCCCAGGTTCAAGCGAATCTCCTGCCTCAGCCTCCTGAGTAGCTGGGATTACAGGCTCACACCACCATGCCTAGCTAATTTTTATATTTTTAGTAGAGATGGGGTTTCACCATGTTGCCCAGGCTGGTCTTGAACTCCTGAGCTCAGGCAATCCGCCTGCCTCAGCCTCCAAAATTGCTAGGATTACAGGCATGAACCACTGCACCTGGCCTGCCCATGAACACTTATCCAGTAATTTCAGTATCCACTGATGATCCTTGCCTGAATCAATTATTTAATTGGGAATTGCAAATAAGGGGTTTTCTAACTCCAGAGTTACTTTTATATTTGTTAGCTGGCAGTCTTCTATGAAAAACAGCTCACCAACTGGGGATGGACTACATTTTATCCTTAAAAAACAAAATATTTAGTTTTTTTCTTAAATACCAATTTTTAGAATAAGGAATTGGTTTGATAGTTATCTTTAATAGTGTCAGAATATTTTTTTCTTTTTTGAATATCATGGACTTTGGATGTTTTAAAATCCAATCGTTTACCCTGTTATGGTCACTATGAGATATAATTTACATACCGTAAAATTCACCTTTTAAAACATACAATTCAGCATTTAAAAATGTATTCACAAAGTTGTGCAACCACTACTACTATCTAATTCCAGAACATTCATCCCCTCCCCCCACAAAGAAACCCTGTACTCTTGAGCAGTCACTCCCCATTACTCCTTCCCTTCAGCCTCAGGCAACCACTCACCTGCTAGTTCTGTCTTACTGATGTGCCTATTCTGGGCATTTCATATAAATGCAGTCAGACAATATGTGGCCTGTAACGTCTGGCATCTTTTAGCCCAGTGTTAAGGTTCATTCATGTTTGAAGCTCTCCCTTTCTAAGATTCCATTGTATGGATATACCACATTTTGTACATCACTTGATGGATACGTGTACATTTTATATGAGCAAATCCATGGCTTTTCCACTCAAATTAGGATTTCTTGGTTTGAGACAGGTAGGGTAGAATGTGGAGCTGAGTTTGGTGACTGTGCTTATCATCAAATGCTGCTTCTTCCACATGCTGCAGTCTAATGCTGGCGTGCTACGCGGGACACCTAGATGTTGTGAAATATCTCCGGAGACACGGTGCTTCTTGGCAGGCGAGAGACCTGGGAGGCTGTACAGCTATGCACTGGGCTGCAGACGGAGGCCACTGCAGTGTGATTGAGTGGATGATCGAGGATGGCTGTGAGGTATGGGACCTGCCCTGTTAACCACGCACACGCTGTTAAGAATCTGAAATGCTGCTCCATGGGGTCTAGCAGAGGCAGCGCCTTTGATTAGTCAACCTTAAAAATACTGGAGAAATTTTTCTGACTTAGCAAGAAAGCCCCAAAACTTTGGGAAAAGAGATCATTGTAGAATTGACATGATAGTGAGCTTTCAGATTGTCGTGGGGGTTTATCTTGTGTAGGGAAGAGAAACAGGTCTGAATCCAGAGCTGGACCTGATGCTTCTACCTTTTTTTTTTTTTTTTTTTTTTTTTTTTGTTGTTTTTTTTTTTTTTTTTTTTTTTTTTTTTTTTTGAGATGGAGTCTCACTCTGTTGCCCAGGCTGGAGTGCAGTGGTGCAATCTTGGCTCACTGCAACCTTTGCCTCCCAGGTTCAAGTGATTCTTCTGCCTCAGCCTCCCTAGTAGCTGGGATTACAGGCATGTGCCACCAAGCCCGGCTAATTTTTGTATTTTTAGTAGAGATGGGGTTTCACCGTTTTGGCCAGGCTGATCTCAAACTCCTGACCTCAAGTGATCCACCCGCCTTGACCTCCCAGAGTGTTGGGATTACAGGCGTGAGCCGCTGCACCAGGCCTGATGATTCTACTTGTTCTTTTGTTCATTGGCTTATTTCTCTCTTCATTTAGTCTTTCACCAAAGCTTTACTGAGCATGTACCAGATATTATTTCAAGTGCTGGAGATAGCAAGATACTAAGAGCTCTTATAGCTATTGTGCTTCTTGTTGCTTCTAAAATTAGACAATTTTTATTCTTAGTTTGTTTTAAAGATTAGTCATTAAAAAAATTTCCAAAGAGCAGACTGACCATATCAAGAATAGATCATTTCAGTTCTTTGTGTCTTTACCTGGAAACAGGCAAGTTGGTCTACCTTTGATTTCACGTTACCAGAAAGTGCAAATTTGATTTAGCAAATAGAAGCAGTGTTGATTGGACTTCTACAGATATTTGAAGATGGGTAATTAGAATCAGATCAATTATGGAAACTGCTGATAATTTTGAAAACTTTAGTTCAAGACGTTGAGAAATTAGCTACAAATTTCAAGGCATGGAACTAAAGAACGATGGACAAAGTGCGGTGCTATCCGTGACTGCCAGATGGCGTGTAGGGTGCTGAGAAATGAAGTCGATGACCTGGAAAATCAACTCAAATTGAGAAAAGCCATGTCTCCTGGAAGATGTCAGTAGATTTGTTCTAGATTGTTTCTGAAGGGTAATTGCGGGAAAGTGAGGCTGCAGTTATGGGATCTACCTGGTTCCTGCTGCTGCTTTTGGAGAATTACTTTCCTCTTGTTTTAGAGACAGGGAGGCAGAAGAGAGAGCCTGTGAGAGGTAGAGAGAGGTAGAAGGCTGAGCCTGTAGGCTTCCGTGGTAGAGCCGGGCCCACGTGCCACATATGGTAGTGACAGCCACATGCTGCTTGTTTGGTTTGTGATCAACTCTGGGCAGGTTTTGCACCTAGTAAAAGTCTGTGATTGAAAAAGAAGGTTGTACTTTGCTGAAGTCAAGCATCCAGGCCAGGCGTGGTGGCTCATGCCTGTAATCCCAGCACTTTGGGAGGCTGAGGCAGGTGGATCACTTGAGGTCAGGAGTTCGAGACCGGCCTGGCTAACATGGTGAAACCCTGTCTCTACTGCAAATACAAAAATTAGCCGGGCGTGGTGGTGGGTGCCTGTAACCCCAGCTATTAGGGAGGCTGAGGCAGGAGAATTGCTTGAACCCGGGAGGTGGAGGTTGTAGTGAGCTGAGATCATGCCACTGCACTCCAGCCTGGGCAATAGAGTGAGACTCCATCTCAAAAAACAACAAAGAAAGGGAAAAGTAAAGCATCCACAGTAGGGCAAATCTCAGGTATCAACATTTAAATACAGGAGTTTTGGAAATGTAGGCTCTCTGGGCTTCAGATATGAACACACTAATTTGGGGTAAATTCCATCCTTCTTTGAAGCACTGGAACTACTTTGCAGAGGATAGAACAATAAGCATGGATGTGTTTACTATAGATTTCCACATGACTGGCCTGGGGGCAGATGGATGATGTCAACATGAGTCTCTCCATGTTCGGCAGATGGCTCACCTGATGCTTCTGAAGCCCATGGGAAGGACTTGGGGGCCAATCAGGGCATTGCCACCTTCTTCTGAAATGTAATGATTATATACTAAGAGTGACTTATTCACTTGGTGACTTATTTATACATTTCTGCATTTAATGAGCCATGTGACCTCAGAAAAGGCACTTCTCTGAGATTCAGTTTGATCATTTGTAAACCAAGAATAAAAATACCTACCTCTGATTAACCTTTAGGACCAAAAGAGAAAATATGTGTAAAGAGGGTTGAAAACTGTATAAAGCATCATGTAATATGAGGCTTATTTTATTATTCTTCAAATATAATGAAGTGTGTTGCCCACAGGTTAGTTCTTTGCATGAGGGAGAGGTGCAAATCCAAACCATGTTGCAGTGGATAATCTTATACATAGAAGTACCCTGAGATGCCCCCAAGATCTCCTGGAAATTCTTTGTTCTTCCATTCTGATGTTTTACTAAAGCTATGGATCATCCTTGAGTAATTCTTCTGTAACAGATTGTGTGTGTGTGTGTGTGTGTGCGCGTGTGTGCGCGCGCGCGTGCATGCATGTGTGCTTGTGTGCACATGGTATGCATGAGTGTGTAGATGCACACGTGCATGTGTGTGCCTGTGTCTGAGCACACACACGTATCTATCTTCAGCACCACTCTTCATGGATTGGCGAGGTCTTCATTGGAATTGGAAGAGACAACATTTACATCTTCCTAATCTAACATCTTTATTTTAGAACACTAAACCGAGAGATTTCAGCGTAGAGAAGACAGTCGGGAGACAGCCAGCTGATTACATGCATGCTGTTTTGGAGAAGGCATCAGTCAGACTTTTCAGACAGAGTTCGTGTAATGAATCTGGTTGTTCTGTATTTTACCTGTAGGTCTTCTGCCTAAAGTTGTTATTATGACTGTCTTGTTCCAGAAAGGATGTAAAGCTGCTTACAACGATACATAAAAGTAAGAAAAATGAATGCTAGGTGAGGAAAATTAGTCGAGAGAATAAGAATGCTCCAGGGGCCAAGTGGAAAGTCGTTCAGTTAATTTTTCTAGCCCATCTTTTTTCTACTTTAAAGGATGTAGATGAAGAAGCCAGTGGGGAGACCCTGAGGCCTCTCAGCACCCTCTAATGCAATTCTAACATGTGTCCTCACAGCATAGAAATGTGACTTAAATTAGCACAGTGCAATGAACTCCTACCAAATGTGGAAAGACGGCTATCTAAGTCTGGGCGCTGGGGCAAGGAAATACTCCTTTTATAAGTTCGAATCATTTTAAGGAAAAGAAATTGGGCTCAACACAGCTGTTTCTCTGGCCCAACAGGTAGACGTAGTGGACACTGGTTCTGGATGGACCCCACTCATGAGAGTCTCTGCAGTGTCGGGAAATCAGAGGGTGGCCTCTCTTCTAATTGAGGCTGGGGCCAATGTGAATGTGAAGGACAGAAATGGAAAGACGCCTCTTATGGTAGGTCGTCCTCCCGAAAATAGGCAGTTTTCTGCATGGAATTAAGGTCAGAGCTTTTTCTGCGCCTCCACCAGCCCTTGGCTTTGACTGTGTGTGTGTGTTCCCTGTCGGCTTGTTCAGAAGGGCATGAGGCCGTTACTAGAATACGTTTCTTGTCTTTTTACAACCATTTCTTTAAGGAGTAAAGAACCCCTGTCCCCAGGACCACTGTGGGGTCAAAACAGATCTGGTGAAACAAAGAACAAGCTGCTTTCTGTCCTGGTTTTAGCGTGGAGAGAGGGAGAGTCCGTTTCCCTGGAGTTGCTACTGTTGCAGCTGCAGAGGAAGCGCTGTGCCTGCAGCCCACGCGAAGCCACAGTGGCCCTTTGTGGGTTGCAGGGGGGCTGCTGGGACTCCGCACGTGCCAGGCTCATGCTTCCTGCTGCTGTGTGTGCCCTGGAGGGAGGAGCTCATGCACACCACCCTGGGTTTTGTTTTCTAGGTGGCTGTGTTAAATAATCATGAAGAGTTAGTTCAGTTACTTCTTGACAAAGGGGCAGATGCAAGTATAAAAAATGAGGTAAATGAGTCCATCTTTATCTAAAGGTTTTCCTCGGAGGGGGAGAAAGAACGTTTATAAGCATGTAAAATTTTTGTTGTTTCCTGTTTCAGTTCGGCAAAGGTGTCCTAGAAATGGCCAGAGTTTTTGACAGACAGGTTGGGATGCTCTTTCTGCCTATCAAGGCTAATTTTATAGCCCTTTAAGACTCAGAAAAACCACCAAAATCCTGGATTACATTCACCTGTCTGTTTTTGTTTATCTAGAGTGTAGTCTCCTTATTGGAAGAAAGGAAAAAAAAACAGAGGCCGGAGAAGTCTTCTGTCTGCTGATCAGAGCACCACTCATCTGCGAAATCCACATAAAACAGTGAAACGTGACTGTTAATCTAGGGATGGGAAATTCTGCATCTTGGAGGGCTGTACATTTATTTATTTAGTTGAAGATTCAGTGTTCCCACTTTGAAATACATCTTTTTACCTAAGCATGCGTGTTATGTGGTGCCATCGTTGGGCGTCTTTAGAATGGGGATGTTTTCTTACACTTGTGCCTTTTAGAGTTAGACATGAAACAAAATATTTATGCACTGGAGCTACACAAACACACATGGGTCTCCCACTCCCGGCTCCTGCCCCGCAAGCTGTCCTTCGGCCACGCTAGGCCTTGCTGGAATTCTTTCCCTCATGTGTTTTCAATTAAATCCTCCCCTCCCAACTTGGGGCTTCCAGGCTGGTTGTCAGGCCGCTGCTCCCTCCTGGAGTGGCGCTCCTCCGAAAAGCCCAGGAGTTTTCAGCCGTTGGCTTCACATCAAAGCTCAAAATACATATTTCAAGACTCCGATTCTATTCTATTAGAGGTGTCTGGTTGAGGGTCAGCCTTCTTAGACCAGACCTGTGAATGTGTTTGCATATCTCACGCCCTGACAATGAAAGACTCAGCCTGCTGGTGGGTTGACGACGTAGCCAGAGAGTACTATATTAAATTTTGTCTTCAGATCAGAAGGTTTTCTGATGCTGATCATGCAGTTCCTAGACAAGCAGGAATTAACCACAGCCATGTCTGCTGGTTGGAAGCTTAAAGACACAAACGTGGTAGAGCTTCAACTCAGCAAACACACTTAAAAATCAGCACAAAAATGAGTGTACAGACCACATGAATTTTGTGTCTCCAGAGGCACACTGGTTAACTTGGCCCCATGAGCAAACCAGCTACAAAGGTCTGTATAGGAGTGGATTTTTTTTTTTTTTTCTGTAGGGAAAGACTAATAAAAGGTAATTAAAGCTCCAAAGCTTTTCTGAGGGGCATAGTGAAAAAGCACACAATTCTATTGACATTAGCAATCGGCTTTATTCCAGAGAGCTCACAGAACATTCACTTTAGGAATGGGATTTGTGGGCCATATTCCCGTCCTTAGATATTTCATGAGTGTTTTACCTTGTGTACAAATGCATATTCCTTTAGATTTCCCAGATTAGATTTTTAAAACCTCTCCAAAAATTGGAGCACATTTACAACTCTCCAAAGCTCCCTCCTTTTGTTGGTGGTCAATGTCAACGTTCACTTTAGTTGCATTTTTTTGGTCTGTTGTAGATTGTATTCACTAGCCTGTTCTGTGGAAGGCATGCGCATCCCTTCTGGTTGACGTCAAGCTTGGCAAAACTGTCTACCCTCCTGATAAATATCGAACCATCCTTATATTCTTGAGATCGTCTCCCTGGGTTATGGTGGACTGCAGGATTCTTCATGCTCCTGTGCTATGTACGTTTACTCTTTTTCTTCTTTTTGCTTAATGAGAAGAGAAAGTGATCTATACACTGTTTGACTTTTCCCAAAGAGCAACTCATAGTTTTATTAGCTCTATTTTTTACTAATGAACGTATCCTTATTTCTACAAATTCATTTCTTCTATTTTTTCCCTGAGGGTTTATTTTATTCCTTTTTTAACTTATAGTAGATATTAGATTCCCTTTTTCGTCTTTTACAAATTAATATGTAGATTTAAGGCTATGAATTTTCTCCCAGTACTGTTTTAGTTATATTATTATAGAAGTTTTCTCAACTTTTCTGATGAAAAATTCAATTGGGAGAACTTGCTAAATACACATTTTGTGACCCCATCTCAGCTCTCTGAATCGGAATCTCCAGGGAAAGGGCATGGACAGTGGATTTTAATGGGTTTGAACATGCATCACAGGTGAGTTCTTCTAATTCAAAGAGTTTGAGAATCTCTGCCATCACGTGTGCCATTACAAATGTTTTCACTTGCCATGTTCTAACCTGCAATTCATCTTTGAAAACTAATCAATCATTACATTTCTAGGGTATGGAATTATTTTTTGAGATTTTTTTTTTCCTCAAAGGCACTTAGAAATAAGATACATTTTGTATGTTTGGAGTATCCTGTTAGATATATATATATCAATTATGTTTGAAGTTTTGTATGTACTAATGTTTGCTGGCTTGCTTGATCATGGGTGAAGAGTAGTAAGAATAAAGATTCCTTTGGCCAGGTGCGGTGGCTCATGCCTGTAATCCCAGAACTTTGGGAGGCTGAGGTGGTCGAATCATGAGGTCAGGAGTTTGAGACCAGCTGGCCAACATGGCGAAACCCCGTCTCTACTATAAATACAAAAATTAGCCAGGCACAGTGGCATATGCCTGTAATCTCAGCTACTCAAGAGGCTGAGGCAGGAGAATCACTTGAACCCAGGAGGCAGAGGTTGCAGTGAGCTGAGATCACACCATTGCACTCCAACCTGGGTGACAGAGTGAGACTCCATCCAAAAAAAAAAAAAGACCCCTTTATTCTTGTTAGCATGTTGTATATGTATTTTTCTTTTTCTTTCCTTCTTTCTTTTTTTTTTTTAAGACTAGTCAAGTGCAGTAGTGAGAAGGGGGCAAAGAGTAGAACAAGGAGCTCGATCTGTAACTGACTGTGAACAATCAGTTGAGATAACTCACTACCTTCAGACCAGCTATTTTTCTTTTTCTTTAGTTTTCTTTATTAAGTTGGATGCTGGTTTTCTTAAATTTGTAAATAGATATCTGTTTACACTTAGATTTTCATACCAAATAACTCCGATGTTAGTATCTCTCCTGCTTACTTTTTGGATTTCTTATGTAAATAAGTTAATAAATTATTTGATAGGTTATACATTCACATTGTTCAAAAACTGTATCAACTTCCACCCCCCAATGCTATGTGTGAGCATCTTCCCTCCTGTCTGACGCGTTCATGAGATTCGTAGCACACACCCCCTACCCCCAGACCCTGCCAACCATTCTTAGTTTCTTATGTACTATTCCAAAATGTTCTCAAGCATCTATACATGAATGAGAATACATTTTCTGCATGAAAGATCTTCCCCAAATTTTTGTAACATTCTCAGTAACAAATAGACACACATTGACATTTACCTGTATACTATTTATTGGGTTTAATATTCATAACAATAACTTTTTTCTACTGAAATAGCAGGTTGTGTTTACCTGTCAAACCCCAATATGAGAAATGTGTACAAAAGCAACAGACTGTAACATAAAAAGGTATGTGGAAAAACGAGCAAACCAAAGCATGATACATGGACGAAGCACTATAGAATTCCTGTGCTGGCTTACGTAGCTGTATCTTTCATCTGTACTGTGCTAAATAGCCTGTAGCCAAGTTTTGAAGAGTTACAGGAACAGTAGCCACACATTAAAAGAATCGGGCATTCACTGCAGCCTCCCGACGTGACCTGATGGGAGGGACAGGAGAGTGATTCACTCTGCCACCATTTTTCCTGCCTTGGATTTGTAGAGGACTTTTTTGGTCTAATTTGTTTTTCCTATCACTGCCCAACTAAGCTGCCTGCTTATAGGCCATGAAAGTAAAATGCCATTCGACATTTTTGCAAAACTAAAATAATCACATGATACTTATTCTTTGGAGCATTTAAATTGCGTTAAATGGAGGACTAAAGAGTGTATAGGAGAATCACGGGGAACAGAGAACCTTTTTGAAGATGATGTGGAAGGTCAGGGTGGGTTACAGGGCATTCAACCTAGAAAAGCCAAATAGCTTTAAATTGAGAATGACTTTTTGTATTAAATCTTCTGGCTATCATGATCTATTACTGGATATTTTAATAATTTTATAGTTATTCTTAGTTTTTCTCATATGAAACTAATGGCTGCACTAGAAGCTGCCATCACTCTTCCGAAAAGTAAAGAGGGGATTTTCTCTACGAAAGAAAGAAAATGGCACATTCACATGTAGGTAAGTAGCTTCTGGAAACATCCTCACTGCACAGAAATGGTTCTCAGCATGGGGCTCCCAAACTTTCTTGTCATATGTCATTTGTTTTACTATCAGAGTTTTCAAATAGGGTTAAAAAGCAATAGATAGCAATAGAAATTTTAGAGTGAGTTAAGAGAATTTTGTAATTATAGATAAGTTGATTTCCTATGGCTAACTTCCCCTTCTAATTAGAACAATGTATTGGGTGGGAGGTCCTCTGCTGGACTAAAGGCTGGTGGGGTTGCTCTGGGCTGCAGTCCTAGGAGGCTTGGGCTTTGGGCATCCCTTGGGTGGGCCTTGTAGGGACAGCCACCCACCGCAGCAGTCACCACTTTGGCTGATCTAAAGTGGAAATGGAAGTAGTGATATGACTGTCAGAAATTGGAGATTCATCGGCCTGGGGTTTGATCTGGGAAAGCGACTTGTGTCTGGGTCATAGGGAAAGGCAAACAGATATATTAGCCACTGGCTTCCTGTGGGCAGCTGTGTTGAATGAGTCTGCTGCTGAGTCACAGCGAGTAACTGCAGCAGCCTAGGACTGGCTTCTAGCATGGGAGAGGAGGAGAAAGGGGGGTCCCGTAATGTCCCCCAGCAGCCTGTCATAGCGTGTGAAACTCGCAGCCTGAGGACCCCACCTCTGGTCAGCACTAGTGTTGGGAGACTTCTGGGAGGGTTGTGTGACTTTCACTTGGGTCACTGGTGTCTGGCTGGGGCCATCTTGAGAGCAGTGAGGAAGGATCTCCAGCCTGAGTGTGCCGTGGGCCCCCAGAATATGTAGGGGAGCCCTGCATAGCAGTTGTAAATTGAGTAAACCTCACGAGGAAAGTCTTCAGGAGTTCAGAGTGCATGAGAAAGATCTGGCCCTGCTGCCCTGGCACTGCCTTGTGCCCTTTCAGCCACTGGGGGTCTCACTGGCTCAGAGTGCATAGTAAACATCAGTGGAGAGGGGGCAGGAGGACTCTCGGCCCTGCCAGTCAGCCTAGCACCAGGCTTTTTTTTCTTTTTTTTTTTTTTTTTTTTTT